CCCCCCATATCTTCTCATTTGTTTCAAGGACAACTGGAGGGGAGGCATTAGCATCAGCCTGACTAGATCAGGTAAGAGCCTGAAGGGATGTTGTTGAAACTAAAAGAAAAAAACCAAAACTAGCTTCTCTTCTCCTCTCCCCTCAGGAGTGTGAGCCAGAGGGATTCACTCAGAGCAGGATTATTTAGAGTCAGGCCCCAGTGACATGTGTGACAGGTGTGCACTCTTAAGCTTAGTGTGGTGAAGAGACCACCTGCAAAAGGGGAGAACAGGGATTTTCCTCTGCATTATTAAAGCAGCCTTCTTACAAATGGAAACCTGACTGGAGGCCTGTGGTCAGACTAGGTGCCTACTACTCAGGTACTTTGCTTTGTCAGAGTGTTCAGTGTTTGTGGCATGGATGAGTCAATGGCCTTGTGATGCTTAAGGAAAGGCAGCGGTTAATTTCCTCGTTAGAAATGTGTTAAATGTTCTAAGAGAGGTTTTATATGAATAACCTTTTTAACCATCCTTTTGAAATTTAATTTGTAACATAGGTAAAATGTGTCTTGCAAACCTGAAAACTACAGATTTCTGCAAAAGTACGGAAATTCAGTCACACCCAAACCCGAGTTTGCAGGTTTTGAGAGCCTGTCATCCTCAGGAATAGCAGTAAGCTTCTCTTAGACCTAATAGGGCAGGATAAACACGTCTACAAAACTAGAGGTTATAATTGGATCATCTGGGCATCTTTTTTTTTTCTCCTCTCACTAGAACTTCACCTATAACTTGGATTAAAGTTCAAAAATGGGATAGCAGTCATTGTTAACTGCTCAGCAAACAGCTATTCAGTCCTTTCCCTTGCTGATCGAGCACCGATTTTGTTTAAAGCAGCAAGATGCTGAGCCCCAGGGGATGGATTATACTTTTTCTAGGCCCTTTCATGTTACTTCTCTCTTCTTGTCCAGATAGTTTTCCAACCTTTCCTCTGACAATGGTCACACGACCCAGTTTAGGCCAATAAGATGGGATGGAGAAGCTGGGAAACTCTTGGGAATTTTTCCCTCCTTGATTAAAGGAAAGCTCATTTTAGCCCCTTTTATTTTTTGTTCAGGAATAAAATTACTAGTTAATGGGATCTGGGTCTGTGGCAACAGTCTTGCACATATGAGGTGAAAAGTACAAAGATGAAAAACACCATGTCAAAGATGTCAGATCAGAAAAATGGAAGGAACTGCCTCCCAGATGACATTCTTGAGCCACTGAGCCAATGCCAGTAACCACATACCTCAGAGCGCTTCGAGAAAACAAACCTCCATAGCTCCAAGACCCTATTAGTAAAGGATTCTTTCAGCTAAGAATATTTCTAATTGACACATTCCAATCCTGTATAGGTCAGGCCGCAGAGTCCTTTCCCAGTGACTGCCTCCCTCCCTTGGTTTTAAAACTCTTTTTTCCTCTCCTCCCCTATTTCCCGTGTATCC